CAGAATATATATATATATATATATATCCCAGGAGCTCCGTATGCTCCTTAGAAATGACAGCTGCCTCCTAACGTTTGAGTTTTTCCTCTAGTCTTGCCTTGGAGCCAGAAAAGTATCTGTACTTGTACCAAGTACAGAACTTGGTATCTGAACATCCCTACTAAAAGAGTTTATTTTAACCCTTTCGCTGCCACCAACATTTGGCATATGGCAGAATACAACCTCTTGCAGCTGGCCACCTTGGTATGCCATACGTCGGTGGCTTTTACCCTTCTGCTATAAGCTCATGGGCTTGATCATGAACTTAAACCAGAAGGGTTCCCCCGACTCTCCCCTGTAAAATATTAGCCGTCATCAGCCCCCAACCGGGCATCCAAACCGGGCCTGTGCTTTCAGAAAATATATGGTTTTGGGGGGTCTTTTACAAACGTTAGTAATGAAGCAAAAAGTTCTACCTATCCTCCCCCCACTATGTTATGTTAAAGGAGAACTCTGGCCAAAAATGCCCTTAACCCTTGTAGGGTGGGTAGCCCCACTGCATAGGTTAAGTGCTCATGTTGGTCTAAGTGGAACAAAAAAACAATGACCAAATCACTATGCAATCTAACAGCACCAAATTTTGTAATGAGGAATGTGATCGCTGTTCACTGAAGCCAGCATAGAGCCCTGGAGGGAAAGTGAAAAAAAACACATTTGCAAAAAAACACAACGACAATTTTAAGAAACATTTAAACTCATTACTTCCTTTGTTAGTCTATTGCATTTTCTTTTTTTAACAAACCTTTCAAATATCATTCTCTACTCTGAGTATAAATCTATTCCAGCATAGGTGTACATTCTGCAAACATGGGTGTCCTTGAGTTACAACCTACCTCTTCTGGAATGCCAGAAGTAGTCGTGGATCCAAAATATTTTCTTCTGGCTCCCAGCTATTGTGTCTACAAGTAAATTAGACAATGGATACAATTACAGAGATGCTAAGCACAAACAGAACAAAATGATGAACTTTACAAGTGTGACACTAGAGCTCTCAGCAACGTGACTCTCAGGACAAACATTTTAAGGGGAGATTCATTCTATATGCAATGGTGACAACTCTAACAAAGAATGACAAGAAAGGGAAAATCTGATGTTCTGAGTTTTCACTGGGTCAGGAATGGAGGGGAAAATTGTGCTGTGACAACCGTCTAACAAAGGATTTCCCTTTGGAGAGATCTCTTACTTCCTACTGTGTTTTGCAATAATAATCTACCCAATGGGAGACAGTAAACAAAAACTTTATTTAGACAGCCATTGTTGGCAACTCCCTAATGTGCTATCTACTCTCTAGTAAATGCCGGTGTAGCAAAGACTAATGGAGTACAGGTGATCTGCCAGGATAGAAATGCTCAGCTAGTGGGATCTGTATATGCAGGGGGAGTTACTATGCTTGTTATATACAACAGCTTGCAGTTTTGGCAACTAATACAAAACATCTGTTACCCCCCTTCCCCCAAAAAATAATTATTTAAATTTTAACATAATTAAAAGGGTACGGCAAGGAATGCAGCAGCTCAGTTAGTCTGCATAGTTTGCCTGCATCCAATCAGATTGTTCAGGTATTTTGAGAGCCAGCGGGGCCAACTCGCAAGATACTGAAGCTTGGCCCAGTGGGAGATTTCTCCATCCACACAGTTTAGCGTAGATGGAGGAATCTGTTGCACATATTCCATCTGACCATAGAAAATCTGCAGATAATCTATAGGTGTATGGCAAGCTTTAGAAAGCTAAAATGTTACTTTTACTGGAAGTACAATATGGGAGACCGACAGATCTAAAGCAGTTTTTGATTTTTGGTCTACTGCAATGGGGGGCGGTCCAATCTTTGTCCAAGAGTCTCTAACACTTGATAACTGAATGCGGGGAATAAACACATTCATGTCACGTTGTACTCCAAGATAGGTCAACCTATTTTAGGGTGCACTTGGTGATTGGCTGCAATATAAAATTAACAGCAAACAGAATAAAAATTGATGGGTTTTAAAGTGATAATAAAGTCAAAAGGTTTTTAAGCCATTTCAAATGCTGATGAAATCACTTACAATGGATGATGCTCCTTGATGTGTACAAGTTATTTTACTGCAAAATCAGCAGATTCACTGAGCATTGGACCCAATGTCCTGTTTTAGGATAGCTCCTTTCTCTTGCAGTGTCATATGGAGCCTCCCTTGTGTGTGTCTCCACAAACACACAGGCACAGCAAGACAAGCCACTTGGCCTGAGATCCTCAAACCATCTGTGAATTGGTGCAGACACTGATGTATATGCAGGGGGAGTTACTATGCTTGTTATATACAACAGCTTGCAGTTTTGGCAACTAATACAAAACATCTGTTACCCCCCTTCCCCCAAAAAATAATTATTTAAATTTTAACATAATTAAAAGGGTACGGCAAGGAATGCAGCAGCTCAGTTAGTCTGCATAGTTTGCCTGCATCCAATCAGATTGTTCAGGTATTTTGAGAGCCAGCGGGGCCAACTCGCAAGATACTGAAGCTTGGCCCAGTGGGAGATTTCTCCATCCACACAGTTTAGCGTAGATGGAGGAATCTGTTGCACATATTCCATCTGACCATAGAAAATCTGCAGATAATCTATAGGTGTATGGCAAGCTTTAGAAAGCTAAAATGTTACTTTTACTGGAAGTACAATATGGGAGACCGACAGATCTAAAGCAGTTTTTGATTTTTGGTCTACTGCAATGGGGGGCGGTCCAATCTTTGTCCAAGAGTCTCTAACACTTGATAACTGAATGCGGGGAATAAACACATTCATGTCACGTTGTACTCCAAGATAGGTCAACCTATTTTAGGGTGCACTTGGTGATTGGCTGCAATATAAAATTAACAGCAAACAGAATAAAAATTGATGGGTTTTAAAGTGATAATAAAGTCAAAAGGTTTTTAAGCCATTTCAAATGCTGATGAAATCACTTACAATGGATGATGCTCCTTGATGTGTACAAGTTATTTTACTGCAAAATCAGCAGATTCACTGAGCATTGGACCCAATGTCCTGTTTTAGGATAGCTCCTTTCTCTTGCAGTGTCATATGGAGCCTCCCTTGTGTGTGTCTCCACAAACACACAGGCACAGCAAGACAAGCCACTTGGCCTGAGATCCTCAAACCATCTGTGAATTGGTGCAGACACTGTCCTTCCTTCTGGAGGGTGGCTACTTGTGTTCCCCATGGTCCCTGTGTGTGTTGTAAAGCTGCCACCGCCCCAAGCTCACTCATGTGATGGACTACAATCTCATGTTTAGTTTACTAATTTGTATTGAGAACGTAGTCCATCATGATACCGAGCTTGGAGTGGTGACTACTTTACAACACACACAGGGACCATGGGGAACAAAAGTAGCCACCCTCCAGAAGGAAGGGCAGTGTCAGCACCAATTCAGAGATGATTTGAGGGTCTACAGCCGAGTGATACACAGATAAGATACTTTTTGTTAATAGTTAAAAAAAGGTATTTGAATGTAATTTTAAGATTTAAACTCCTGAGTTTACCGTCACATGATGCCGACTATTAACAGCTCAAATTTCAGCCAATTTCTGCTGACAAAATTCAAGTCGTAGGTGACCCTGTCAGCACCACCACACTCAACAAAAGTCCATTCTTCAATTGATTTTTCTTGAAGGAGCCAGTCTGAACATTTTCTGCCAAACAGTACCTTTGCCCAATCAGAAGAAGTCATTGTTTGGGTAATCAGCAGCTGCCAAAGCCGTGGTTGCCGAATACAATAGCCAGGAGCATGAGTACCTCCTTGGAATCAATGGACTTCTCAACCTGGAGCATGCTCAGAAGGCTTTAGACAGATGTCACCAGAACTAGTGTTCTCACTGGAAGGCTTCCCCACCTGTCCCCGTCTTCTCACTGGAAGGCTTCCCCACCTGTCCCCGTCTTCTCACTGGAAGGCTTCCCCACCTGTCCCCTGTGCTCTCATTGGAAGACTTCCCCACCTATCCCGGTGTTCTCATTGGAAGACTTCCCCACCTATCTCGGTGTTCTCATTGGAAGACTTCCCCACCTATCCCGGTGTTCTCATTGGAAGACTTCCCCACCTATCCCGGTGTTCTCATTGGAAGACTTCCCCACCTACCCCTGTTCTAGTAACAACTGAACATGTTTGATTTTCTTTCACTCCCTGTGATCACGGTCACCAGGACAAACAGAGAGGGGAAATCTTCCTGATGTGGACACATATTGCAATAAAAATCATGACAGGTGTTCTAATCCCTCCTCTCTATACAAAACAAAAAGAAAAAATATATTGGATTCAGTTGCTTTTAATTGCACAGATTCAGGGCCAGACCTCAGCCAGGAGAAGTGATCACACCACTGGGACAATGATGAGTTATTATTATCAGGGCCTCCTATGAATGAAGTGTGAGGGCTGAGTGAGCACTCAGGAATGTAAACACGGGTGGGCGTGGTCTCGGGTGACACTGAACACAACAAGCACTGAGTCACAATCTGACAGACATAATTACACAAATAACATGTCAGTGATGACGGATCTGTCAGGGTGGCGATGCCATGAGACCTCTATTGGGGTACACCTCACACTAGTACACACGGGGGAGGGGGCCGCTTTTACAGCACGTGCATCTAGTGCAGCACCATATACACAAAAGGGTCTCCGCCGGGCTCCGGAGTGCACTCACTTGGAGGACCAGCCTCTCCACTTCACCAGGTATTCCGCTGTTCCCTGCGGGAGAGAGAAAGACGGGGGTCACTTGTTGTTCCAGGGGGCGGGGTCAGCGAAACAGACCGCGGCTGAGAGGAAAGGGAGCACGGCTTTACCTTTCGTAGCCTCTTGTTGAGGATGCATTCCGCCGCGAACACCTGTTCCCCGACTGCGCTCAGTTCCTCCATGGCTTCCCGCAGGCGCCCTTTGGCGGGGTTCACTGCAGATTCTCCTCGAGTCCCTTAGAAGCACACAAAGCCAGCGCGGGAGCGAGCGGAGGCGCGCGCCTCTTCTTCCGGGCTGTCCAATGGAAGAGCGAGGCATAGCTGGGCTTCCGGGGCGGTAGGGGGCGTGGTGTACGCGCCTGAATCATTTGAATAATCCCGCCCGCATTCCACCCGTGAGGCCTTGTGCGCTGGATGGTCGGGTCTCTGATACACAGGAGTGGGCGGGTCTCTCTGGTGGGTGCTGACTCTGCTGAGCGCTGTGTGAAAGTGGGCCTGGAGCGGGATGGCAGCTGAATTGCCACTTGCGGATGAGGGCAAAGTTCAGGTGTAACGTTTGCTGGGTGCAATAAATTCAGCGCTATTCTTTCCACTTTATTAAACATGTCCTCACCCCATACAGGTTTCTTTATAGCAAGTTTTAGGGCCACCCACCGGCATGAGGTTAAAAAAGTGACCCTGGAAATGTTTTGGTGGTTTTGGTTCAATGTTAAAACTTGGGACTGTGTTATCTCGTGTTGTGTGCTGCACTGGTGTGCTTTCCCTTAAGCCCCTTGTGAGTTTTTCAGGTGGACCGATAGGATGCCCACTGTAAGTCTATGGGTAGCCATGTGTAAACAGATGGGCGTTTGGAAAGAAAGACGGATCAAAGATCCGTATCGCTGAACCGGGGTAATCTGATGTAAATAAACACATGTCCGCTTACATCCCATTCCCAATAGACTGACATGGGGTCCGGCACTTTCAGTTCTTTCCTCCATTGCAAGGTGCAAGATAAAACTGTACAGACATAGATGTCCCAGAGGCAGGGGTGTATCTGCCGCGAGGCAAACAAGGTGTTTGCCTTAGGCGGGAGATTCCAAGGGAGCGGCAAAAATGCCGGGGTCTCAATGTACCTGGTCGCGGGCCAGTTGCGGTACTTTGTGACCCGCAGCCAGCTCAGAAGTCAGGTACTCGATCACGGACCGCATACCTGACTTGCAGGAGCAGCTACACGGTCTGCATCTCTGTCGGATGCAGACTGTGTAGCTGAGTCTATGCCGCACTCGGATCGTTTCGGCCAGCGCTCTTTCAGTGAACGCTGGCCGAAAGGATTGTGCAGGATTGATTGGTAAGGTCTGCAGCAGACCTCACCGAATCACCAGGGACCGACATGCCGCCTCACAGCCTCCTCCCTGCAACAAGGTAAGCAGGAGAGGGGGCTCTGCATTGCATTGTAGGGAAGGGGGGGACTGGGAATTATTTTAAATGTGTGTGGTGGGACACAGACTGGGGTTGTTTATATATATACTGTATATATATTAAAACCCCTGTCCCCCACACACACACATATATATGAA